CCTTGTCAGCAACAGTCGAAATCAGGGCCCCTATCGGGGTACATGACGTGATCCTGCAGCTCTCACACAACCTAGCTGGCGGCGGACAGCACACGTCACAAGCCCTCATTCCGCAACCAACACATGGGACCAGAGGAGGGCCAGTAATGGGGACTCTGAGGCCAGATTTGGTGCACTTGTCCCTCCCGTCATTGATTCAGGAAGAAGACCGCCATCTCCTGGCCTACCGGCCCCATTGACACTGTAGCCATGACACGGACTCGCTCCGGGGTTACTGGCATGCCCAATGCTCGCAGGGTAACCCGGAGCAACGCCTTGCTGGCTAACGCCGGCCCCGACGCCTTGATTGTAGACACCACCCCCAAAAGCAGGACCATAGAAACTCGAACCACACTGGTTGTTCTCAGCTCCATGAGAGTCGGCAGCACTACCATAGAACCCGGGTGCTCCACCAGGGTACCCCCCGGTAGGAGCCCCACCACTCGGGCCTCCAGGAGGTCCAGCGGGACCTTGGCCTCCGCCGAGATGTCCAGGTCCTGGTGGTGGAAATGGAGCATGTCCATGACCACCGCTTCCGCCCCCACCTTGGCCGGGTGGTCCGCCTTGCCCACCTCCTCCCCCAGGAGGAGGAGGAGGGGGCGGTCCAACTTCAGCGCGTTCATGCCGAATATTGCAGCGCGCACATCGCTCGAGGCCGTCACTGCCAAAATGACTGTGATCCTCACAGACGTGGTTCCCACAATCCGTGCAGGAATACATATAGAGACCTCCTGGGCATTTTTACGACATGCCCAACATTTCATCTTCAAGAAGTGACAATTGCAACAGTCCCCATCGTCGCCCCGGCAAAGCCTGCAAAACTCTCGATTGCACGTAACACACGAGAATTCAGCGTCTGGGTGCCTACGGTCATTCGGATCATCGAGAGCACAGATCTTCGGCGCACCTGGGCCACCGGTACCGGGCGCACCTCTTGCGGCCGGTGCCGAGGCCCGTCCACGAGCAGGCCTCGGACTCCTATTCCTACCCACATCCCTGTTGGGGGAAATCGAAATGTCCCCCCTTGCGCGCGCGCGGGGGCCATCCCTTACACGCCCTGGCGGGGAATGTGACCTGTCAGGCAGTCCCCGAGCTCTTCTGCTTCTGCTGTCAGCCCTCTCCCTATCGGGATGACTGGGATGCCTGTCTGCACGAGAAGGATCGACCCTATCGGGCACATTTGGCAAAACGTGATCGGTCAAACCAACACCCCTGCCGGGTCTTACCGGAAGGTCAGTACCCCGACCGTCACCTTCTCCAGGAGTGGGCGTCGGAGACCTGATCCTATGTCCCTGTCCAGCAAAAGCGTTGTAACCAACATTCCGTCTCTCTCTGGGTCCTTGAGGATTCTGCTGATTTTCCTGGACACCCTGAATAATTTCAGCAGCCTCATCAACATGACCTTCAATATCAGTAAGCTGAGCCATGATTCTGTTGTTCATTCCATTAAGAGTACGTATGTTACTCTCGGTAGTAGTGATTCTCCGCATTGCGCCTTCAAGCGTACTCCGAAATGAATCGAGTTCACGCCTAACGGCAGACCGCGCTTGATCACTATTCGCAGGGAGATTGCGGATCTGCCTTCTGATGTCATCAAGAACTTGATTCAGAATTCCCGAGCTCGCTTCATACTGCTCAACACGGGACTTCACGGTCTCAAATCTCGCGATGACATCGTCATGATCCCGATGTTGGCGTTGAACTCCGCGAGATCCATCCTGGACCTTTCGATTGACCTCGTCAATTGCTTCATGCCAGTCCTGCGGGGAAACAGGCCCTGATGGTCTATCGACCGCCTGGGACCCCCTCCCACTTTGCAGCCTCGACATTCGATCAGCAAGAATGATTTGTTCTTCATTAATACCACCAATAGATTCGGAGGTCCACTTAGCAAACTTCTCGTGTTCAAGAAGAACCTTCTCGAGCTTCAGGTTTAATTCCCTGAAATTCGCGTTCGCCCCACTGCTGGTAGCCCTATCGGGCACTTGCGCAGCGGGGCTCAGATCCCATTCACCTGCGGGCGTCCGCATCCCAACGGTTTTCTCTACCGAGAACATCCGCCCCTCGAGCTTGTCTAAGTCCTTCTGGATCTCGTCCTCGGAAGCAGCATGGCTCCTGTGGATGGCCTGACGGTTCTCCTGGATGACCTGACGAAGTTGGCTAGTTGCGATTTCATTGTCCTTAACGGATTCATGAACTTCGTGGGAAAGCAAGTTGATCCTCTGATCCACAATCTCAGCCTGTTCATCGATGGCTTGCCTCACAATGGCCTTGCTGTCAGGGATAACTTCGCTGGCAAACCGCTGAACTATCATTCGCATCCTACCGGCATCAGACTGAGTCGCAATCTCAGTAGCCAAACGACTGACCCTGTCCTTCGTCTGCTGATTCTCGTCGCTCCACTCTTTTCGCATGGAACCCACCTGACCGTTCAGTAACCTGATTTGGTCAGCAAAGATATGGAACGCTTTCGCGACTGAACCAGACACCTCACCCCTCTCGAGCATCTCCTGGATGTGCAAATCAAACACCTCCTTTGCTCTAGCGTCACCTGACTCACCGGAAGAATGGGATCTGTGGGCTGGAGGAGTCGATATCTCGATCCTCTCAGGAATCCTACCAGCTCTAGCATGTCTTCTGGGGTCGCCTACAGGATCATCATTAATCTTGGATGGCCTACTCGGGGTAGATCCCCTTCTCCGGCTATCGCCAGCTCGGGGATCAATATTGGATGCACGAGACTCAGGAGTAGAGTGGATATGAACATCAGCAGGATCGAACATCCTGCTGAGTTGAACCTAACGGTGAAGGGCTAGCCCTCCTCGCCTTTGACCTATCGGTCTCAATGGCGAGGGGTGACGGCCTCTTCGCTGAGGCACTACGCTCCCTGGCGGTCGATCCCCATTGAGGTGTGAACTCGTTGCTGGACCTTAGCGTTTCGATGTCACTGGGATCTCGCCCTAACGGGCTAGCGATCGACGGACGATCCTCGATTCCGAGTGCATCGGCAAGCCGACCATCTCTCGCACCTGTCCCAACGACATCGGCAGCCCGCTCAGTGATCCTCGGCGAACCAGTAACCCGGTTCGAGTTCTCGTCACTCTGATTCAACGGACCTCCAAATGTAATGTTGGGAAAGGGGGGAACATTTGGGGTATCACCAATCACTGGGGGACCTATCGGTCCCTCCCTGTCATGGATGGCCTCCAATCCCCGAAGAACTTCCCGGCTATCCCTGGCTCTCTCTCTCTCGCTCCGGGCGTCCTGGTCAACACGAAGGTCCCTGGTTGCTCCACGAGAGAGACTCCTGGGCCTTGCAGCAGCACGGATCCTAGCATTTCGGCGTGATTGGTCCTCCTCCTCATCCGCAAAGATGTAATCTTCACCATCATAAAATTCAGACTTGGCAGTATTGGGGTTGGGCCTATCGGCATCAGATCCCTGCTTTGAGCTACTGCCCCAGCCTGCTGTCGATTTCAACAGAGCATCGTATCCGAAACCTGTGAACTTCCGCTCCTCGTGCTCATCAAACTGACCTGGATTTTGAGAACCAGTGGATCGACCCGAGATACCTCTCGGAGCCAAAACCATAGTCCCTGGTCCCTGCAGCCTGTCCTCAAACTCATCCGAGACCTGCGATTCACCTGGAACAAGAGATCTCGGGGGTCGGGTCGGCATGGCCTCCGGGTCGTCCGAATGAGGGCGGGCCATGTTCATCGCCATGCTGATGAAGTCGAACTGTCCGCGCCTGTGACCTGATTCAGAGCCGCTCCTATCGGAGCGAACCCTTCGTGTCTGCTCATCATCAGTGGCCTGACGGAAAATGCGATCATCTCCATCGTCGGTGTACCTGCCACGGCTTCTGGGTGTGTCCCTACCGGGATCTTCACCCCTGCGGTCCTGACCTGCCGAACCTGCTTCGAAATCCTCATAGTCGAAGTCCGGTAGGTCCTCACCTGAGCGGAGGCCCCCTAGGATGGCCTCCTCATCCACGACACTCCTGTGTGATCGTGGGGTCGACATAGAGCTTGTAGTTGATGGTCTCAAGCGCGTAGGAAAGTCCTACGGCTGATAACCTGTGATTCGGGCACGAGCCTGTGCCCAGGCAATGGGTAAGTTGGGGTAAACAAGCCACAAAAGAAAGGTTCCCCAAAAGCAAACCAATCCCCGGTCCCAAAGATCAGGGTTTCCCACACACCAGAGAACAACAACCAAAAGGGAAAAACCAAAACAAGTAAACAAGTACCCGCAACCTTGATCGACGATGAACCGCACGGGCGGACCCCACCAATCTGCCCCGGGCCGATGTCTCTTTCTCCACCGACACGAAGGTGATCGACGCGGGGACCCGGCGACGCTCATCCGAGGCGCGACGGACCCGCAAACTTGAGCCAAAACACCACAGGTCGGTCACTACCGCGACGTCCCTGATGATGATATTAACCATGGCTCATCACATATATATATATATATATGTCTATACATATATATATATATGTCTACACACATATACATATATATATATATACACACACATATATATATATATATAATGGCGCTCAATGGAAACCTCGGATGAGAACAACCCTGGTTGGGGGGTTCTATTTAACAAACGGGCCGGATCACATAGGGAGTTGCACACCCCTATGAATCAGTGAGCCGTCTCAAAATATTGGGTTGCCTGGTCGCCAAAAAAACCACACTGACTCCTTGTAAATATGCATCTACATGTATAGTGGCTGTATATCCCATTGAACACCTGGAGGGGGATCCTAGTGGAATACCATTACAACCAGGGGCATCTGTCACAATAAGAGTCGTGCTTGATGTAGAACGACCCAGTTTTTCCCCCCCCAGGGGCCAACCTTTGTGAGGTCTACCAACCCCGGCCTGGAAAAATGACCACCCAGTTTCCTGAGGCCGCCGAATCGCCCGACCGCGGCGTCTGAAGCGGTGGGCTCCTCACCGGAGTCCGCCGAGAAGTGGCGGCTCCGAAAGGCTCCGGAGCTGCCGCCGGACCGGGGCTTGGGCTTGGCGACGCCTCGGCTGGAGGTCCCGATGGACCAAATCCGATTCGCACCAACTGGGATTGGTGGTCGATCAGCCAGTATTCACAGGCTTATTTGTGGTAAGTGTGAGTTGTGCGAAATGGATGTTCTTCATCGACAGTGTCGACCTTTGATCTTTGATGTAAGAAAACATACGCAAGTTGTATATATCAGGTGCGCACCTACAAGTGTACTAGTCCACCATACACATATCTGTAGTCGCAACAAATGTCAGGGAACCTGGCGTGGGGTACGTGGGGTACATGGTTGAGCGTGTTGAAGGAGTTGTGGGAAATAGGCCCGTTCCGAACGGAGGATTCTGATATGAGGTTTTTAGGGGGCATCACACTTCCCAGCAAAACATTGCACCAGTTGGGAGGGGAACACACTGCAATCCGTTCGTTTGACCCTTCCAACATAGGAACCATAACGACCCCCGGTTTCCTCCCAAGGCTGGGTACAGTATTGTCGTGTTTAACTTCAATCGCCATGCAATCTTTGACCCTTCCCACTGGGAATCATAACGACCCCCCATTTAGGCGCAACCGCTAGGTTTCCCTCTGCCGCCGCGCAGCTGGCGCGGATTGGATGGCTCTGGGGTCCACGGTCCACCTGCGAAAGGTGTACCATACTGTGGCCGCTTCGCACTAGTAGGTGGTGCCTCCCATTCATAGGGTCAAATCCTCTGATTTCTCCACCCGCCTCCGCCTCCACCCCCGAAGTGGGTTTGGTCCATCCTTTGAAAGCTAAGCCGCCTGGTCAAGCGTTTTGAGATGGCAGGAGCGAGCCTTGGAGCCCAAATGATCTTGGGAACTTCTTTCAGAACCCGAGGCCTGGCCAAGGAACCCGAGGCCTGGAGGGCTTAGGGTTCCAGTTCGCCTTGGCACAGGCACCATCCCAGCCATTTCACATGGGAGCTTCCCAAAATGGGGCCGTGTTCGAATTTTGAGGGTACCCCTAGTTTGGTGGTGTTCAAGGGAAACCAACAGGAAAGGCACCATTTTGGGGGTCCCCTAAAAAATGACACCCAACAAATGTTAAATCCCTCCCTGCACTTTTGAGGTCGCGGCTCAATTTGCCTTGACCTGTCCCAAAAATCTCAAACAAAAAAACGGTAAAGCTGGCTTCCGCAGCCCACAAGTTACCCCCAAATCGAGAAACAGCGGCTCGGATGTGCTTTGCCACATGGCAAACAAGGACCAGGCATACAAGTCTTAACTTTTGAAATGCTGGCTGAACAATGGATAAACCAAAAGGTGTGTGATCCAATCGGATGGCTTTGCTACTTCAGCTTTTGCCCCCAACCAAACCGTACCAAACCAACATGTTTGATTCCGTTTTTGTTTATTGAACCTTGAGATCCAAAATGAAAGGGGGGGTTTGAATAGGGGGACCTCGCGTTTCCCTTTAAACCAACCTGCCATCAAAAACACACCCAAACCCGTCTGCTTGCGAGTGGGTCCCAGGTGATTCTTGCGAACGCCTGCTGCACAACGCCCACCGCCACCGTGATTTTCTGGTCATGCACGGAGAAACGGCCGAGGGCCGGGTACTCCTGGCCGGACGTCCCACCATGCCGCGGGTGCGACTTGGCCATCCCTGCTTTCGGTGTAGGAATCCATGCTCCCTTCTTGGCATTTGTTTTCTTTTTTGGGATATGTAGCGACTCCCTCAAAAAGACCGGAGGAACAAAACATATGTTCCAAAAATGACGATTGAGCAGAAATGGCCCCATGATGAAGTCTGTCATCTTCCCACTCCAAATCTCAGACTTTGAGATTGGCATGGACCCCTGTCACTCGAATGTGGGAATGGCCACAACACATAACACAAACGGCCTTGAAAGTACCATGCGTCGTGCAACCCAGCAACACATAGTCACCAGGAAAAGACCTCCCTGATTTCCAGCATGGAACCTACCAGACTTATTTTGCCAGGGACCTCCAGTCAGCTTCCATGGCATGAGCGCGCCTCAAAGGCCTCCAGACAGAGCGGCGTGTGGGGCCGCAGCCGGACCTGAGGCTTGAGGCCTCCAAGTGAGTGATCCAAGGAACACCTGGAGGAAGCGTAAAACGAAAAGCGAGTCAGCCACTGAAGCAAAGAGTTCAAGATTTGGCACAAAACTTATATAACTTGGATTTCAACGGATTTCAAGCAACATAAATCACGTCCCCCTATTGCCTTGCATGGGGAAAATGAAGAACCTATGTGTCGCCAACCTGCACGAAATTGCCTGCCGATGCCTGCCGAATCTGAAGCGATCTCACTTCAAAGTGTTTGTATGGATCCGTTTGTTCAAGGCCAAGAACCTCCTCCAAGAGCCAGCCATTGGCGCAAAGAAAGTCGAGACATACTCCCTGGGCGGAAATAAGCCTGGAGCAAGCAAAGGATCCACGCACATGGTGATTCTTCCTTCCTCTAATTACTGCCACAAGTTGCTGTTGGTTACTCAACAGTAACCCAATCGCCGGCAATTTGACCGTGTTCCTTTAGCGGACCAAAGCAGGATTCCAAGAGCTCCTTCAGCATGATTGTCTTTCCAACCTCCGTTCCCATCGCCAGCCTTTCGCATGTGTCCCTTCGCTTTTGCGCATCAGGAATTGACCAACTGAACACTGCAGGCCTTTGGTTACAGGGAAGCTATGGTTGAACCCTGGCCATGGGAGCAGCTTACAATACTGCCAGCACTACACCCACAAAGGCACAGCCAAAAGCGAATCCCTGATGTTGTCCGCCGCCCATTTTACTTTTTACATAGACTTAGCGCCCCCGGCAAAACAGGGGAAACCAACAAGTATGCGGGCACCCTGTTTTTACACAGACTCCAAACTCCAACCCCCCCCCCCCCCCGCCCACAAAAAAGGAACCAAACAAAAGATGGTTCGCCTTTTTCCATGTGTCGCCCCTGCGAAATGGGCACAAATCTGGTTCGCTTTTCTCGGACTCTTCGCCCTTTCGAAAGCGGCCCGCCCGAACTGGGCACCTTCCATTCCTCACTTGCACAAAAGACCTGGAAATAAAAGGCGATCACCTTTTGGGGTCAAATAGACACCAAGCCCGGAAAAGGTCAAAAGGTCGGCTTTGGGCAACTGAGGAGATGTGAGCGATTACTTGTTCAGTGACCCTGGAAAAAAAAGGAACCCTTTTCGGGGAAGACCAGTTTTAGTGAGGCCACCAAAAAGACGAAGGGAACAAGGGTGCCACTGAAGAACTGAGTTTCTGGTCGAGTCTTCTTCAGTTGACTCCGTCTTCTTCCGCGGCGCCAGCGCCGCGTCCCCGCACAGAAGCTGCGCCGGCCGCATCTCCAAGACTTGGCCTCGCGGAACGGCGGAATAGGCGCGGATCAGTGGCAGGCCACCTGAAGCCCACGGGGGAAAAACAAAAAAAAAAAACACTTAGAGGCACGAGGCAAGTTGCCTGTTAGAGCCTTTTGGCCTCATGTTTATGTACAAAAAACGTTTAAAGGTCAGGGAAGCCAGCTTGATTACGTAGGGTTGACTTAGCCACAAACCATGGTAAAATGCATTATTCCCCTCCAAGCACGCTCCACACAGCCCCAACCTTGGCAAACATCGGGCTGCTGAACGCTTGTCTGCGCAGCGTATATACTCAAAACTCACTCTGACAACATGCAAATTCTCATAGGCGGTTGTCTGAAACTCCTTGTTCCAGGAGCCATCTTTGCGAACAGCAAACTACCTTTCGCGACCTCCATCGCAGCTTTCGGGCTATGTTCGCAAAACTTTCGCCAACACCAAGCTGATCTAAGTTGACTTCAACGAGTCCGGAGCTTTCGCGCACCACAGGACCAAAGGACTTCCCATCTCAATTCCCCCTCGAAGTGACAACTAGGCAAAGCTTGCTTGCACAAAGGTGTGACAAGGGCCAACCTGGGCCGCTGTCTGTGCCCAGGAAGAGGTTGCTTGTTCGCCGGGCCTCATTCTTTGGGGGTTGTCCTCAGGTTACACGAGTTCATCAATGTGTCACGTATCGTTCCTACTGCTAGGCTGCGACGCACCCCAATTCTTTTCCCTTCTCAGTCTTGATCCAAAATGGCAGACCCATAACAATTGATGATACATGTTCACCCAATGCCTGCCAAGCTCTAAACATGGCATACATCAATGTGTCACGTATCGTTCCTACTGCTAGGCTGCGACGCACCCCAATTCTTTTCCCTTCTCATCATTCATAGTCTGCACTGCCCGTGCCTGTAACAACCCTCATCGCCTGAGGGATAATGCTTTGGATTTCCATGCATCTCCTGCATGGACTGTGCTTAGAGGGGGCCACCGGTCAACTCCGGTTGGGATGCCTCTAACATCCTTAAAAGTTCCCCAATGCACTTCATCAACTCCCAAAGCACTACAGAAAGCTCGTCACCGCGAGCACGGCACGAAACGGCAGCTTCCACATGATGGGGAAACAGAAAGCAGTAGACATTGAAAAATCATTTTGGCGGGCCCATGGGTCCTGCCATCCTAACCGAGAAATCGCATCCGACCAGTTGGATTTGGAAGGGATCCACTCCCAATACATCCAAACTTTCAGCCCAAACAAAACTGTGTGTGTATCACGTGGGACATTCGTTCCAGATCAGGCTCCCTGGATCTACCACGGATTAAACACATCAGGGCTGCGGTGTTATCGATGTACCACACTCCCCTCCGATTACGGAATGTATCCGGTCGGCAGAGGAGTGCGTACAACACCATGGACAGCTCCAATTGAGCAATCTTCCGGTCCCCCGGAGTCCACAACTGGTAAAGCTCAAGTGGGATGTCAGCTACAAAAGCTTCCCGTCGCTCGGCGAAGCCGTCGGCCCACACCATCAGGAAACCTCCCGTCCCCTGACGAGGGCTCTCAAGAGCCGCATCCGAAGCTATCACAAACCTCTCACACGGCACTGGTAAAACCTGAAGCACTCGGCGTGGTTGGGTAGCAAAAACTGCTTCTAGCAACTCAAGGCTTGCCTTGATAGGCTGAGGATCTCTCAGCCTGCCGCGTCTTGATGGAGCCCAATCCGCCGCATCCCACGCGGCCATAGACTCCCATCTCCAAGAAGTTAGCCAGGCCGTAGATCTTGGCCGCGAGGCCAGGTGCGAGTCTCCCCTCGTTCCTGACCTTCTGGATCATCCCGGACATCTTCTCGTGCAGCCGCTCCCGAGCCCAGAAAGACACCACGCCGTCGTGCAGTGCCTGAGATAGGTCGTGGTCAAGCCCCAGAAAGAGTCCTTGGGCTGCCATAGGCTGCTTCTTGTCCTCGGAGAAAGGCGTGCCCAGCAGCCGGTTCAGCTCTTCCAGCGCCCACTGGCCGGAACCACCGGCCGACCGCCAATCCGTGATGTGGGCGTCATCGAAGTAGAACGAAACCAGAAGGACCAACAGTCGTCTGGCCAGCGCTTCCGCTAGCCTAGAGTACCGATTGAAACTGGTCACGGCCAACGGCAGGCCAAAGAGCAGCCCTGCGTACCGCTGAAACGCAGGCGCCCCCCAGCCCTGGTGCCAAAAACAAACGATGCAGCCCCTGGCCTCCTCACTGCTCATAGGAGAGTGGCGATAGGCATCTGGCCAATCCTCCCCTCCGGATTCCCACGAGTCACCCTCGCGGGCCGAGCGAAGTTGGCTCTCATCCATGCCTTGCATCACCGCTGCAATGTGCTGGGCTGGTCGCAATGGTGAACAGAGGACTAATTTATTGGCGTCCGATGAACGGAGGGATTGACCCCCTGTATCTGCGTTGTCGATCACTCGCTGTTTGCCTGAGGACTGTGTGATGACACACCTGGGTATGAGTCGGAACTCCTGCCCTTTGAGCTCCCGCTGCAGCTCGGACAGGGACATCGGGGCTGTACAAAACCCACGATCAGCGTCCTTCTGCGACTGCTCCAGCAAGAAGGCATCATCCTTGCCCGGGCGCAAACTAGCTAGCACGAGCCGGTTGTTCTCGCCTGCCCCATCCAGCACCTCCTCAAAGGTGATCCTCCGCGCGTCTTGCTGGGGGAACACGCCGTAGTGGGGGGCAAAGCCGACTGCTGGCAGGCCCACCACCAGGCCATGGGGGTATGATACGTCGGGCCACGCCAGCAATATCACCAACAGGCCCAGCAAGCCAATGTCCCTTTGTGCTGTCACTGCTTGGAGGGCTGGTGCCTGGAATTGCCTCAACTGATCATCCACTCGCTTCCATCTCTGCTTCAGCTCCTTGACGGCCCCGATGGCTCCACGTCGCATCTGGCGCAGGTCCCCCCTGCGTGCCGCCATGACGGAAGCCACAAACTGCAAATCCTCATCCATCACTGCTTCTTGCTCCAGTGGGGTTGGCGTCATCTTCATAGCCAAGGCCGCAGCGAAGTGGTCGTCCGGATTGGGTACACCGGAGATCAGCGGGGGCAAGGCTGCCTTGTGGCTCAACGCACCCGCTTGCTGCCCCTCCGCTGTGCGCGACCGGATGCGGACCCCCGCCGGGGCCGTGGCAGGGCCCAGGGGACCATCCCAATCCAGATGCTGCCCGTTCCGCCACTCCGCATAGTCGATGAATGGAGACTGGTTGATGAGGTCCTCAATCATGGGGAAGCGGAAGCCCGTGAACCAGGGCTCAGGAAAGAGACCCAAGAAGCAGTTCACCACTGCCTCTTGCGTCCAACGCCTCCACGGCACCGCTCTGGCATCCACTCCTGGCAAACCGCCCCATGCCAACAGAACTCCTCGTCTCGGCACTCGTCGGTTCTTCCGTCGTGCTGGCTGTGCGGCCGACTGCTGGACACACTCCTCAAAAACCAAGCCGGCCAAAATGTCCGCCTCGCACACCTCCTCAAAGCTGCAATCACAGGCCAGCCTCTTGCCCATCAGCTCTGGCAATCGCTCATTCAGGCCTGACTGGTGGACATACTGCACGAAACGTGGGATCCACTCGTCCCACGAGCAATCGTGTCCCGGCACCCACGGGCATCTCCAGTCGGACGTAGGGACTCGATGGCTGTGATGCCCTCGTCCAACGTAGACCACGTCCCCGGGTAGGGTACCATCTTCGTACAGCACCTCAAGGATCACCACTCGCCGAGGCAACGTGGCACCCGATGCCAGCGGGGGCGGCTTGAGCCCGAGGCTCACCGCCATCGGTGCCATGGCCCATTCGCGTAGAGCCCGTCCATCGAACTCCAACCAGTGCTCCCGGCGACCTACCGTCTCAATCGCTGGCATCCGCGGGACCGTCAGGCGTGCCTTGCCGACCCGGGCCGCCCACCACGAAGCCGCCACCGCGATGCTGAATGCCAGCGCTGCCGTGTACTCCGCCTCGGCCTTGGACGGGTACCACCTGCCATCGGAACTCTCCTGTGGTTCCCACTCTCGGGGGTGGTGGGTATGGTGACACATCAACCCTGGGGTTCGGGGGCCTTAAAAAGAAAGGCCTTTAGGAAGCGGCCGTGAAATGTGGGGAACGTCCTTTGTTTGCAAGCTGGACGCTTTTAATTGGGTTGACAGTTTTGTGTTGGCCGCATTAGTAGCCACATGGCTTTGCAGTGCTTGTGGCTGAAAAGTACGCTTTCCAAAGCCTCGCGAAAACAATGTAGACATGTTGAAGCTGGTCAATGCCCAAGTTCTTCAACTTTGTGGGATTTCTAGAGACATTGGACATGGGCTTAGCAATGGGAAATCGACAAGGGAAAAGCGTGAAAATACCGTGAAATTGGCGTGAACGCCCTTTTTTTGCAGTGAAAGACCGTGAAACGCCGTGAAATTTGGCAGGCGAACAACCACTCGCATTCATCCTAGCTGGCGTTGTTTTCTGCTGGGTTTGAAAAGGTCTTGCTGAATTGATGTTTCGGGAAGACCATGATTGTTCCATTGATGATGCAGACATGTGCTGCTTTAACTTTGAGGCCTTCGCAAGTCTAGCTTGGTGTGGAAAGGCTTGTTGCTGACGATGTAAAGTTGGAATTCCACCCAGGCCCCCATCCCCCAGCTAGTCAAACAAAGGATGTTCATGTAAAGGCCTTTGTTTTAAAAGCCTTTAACCCCCCAGGGTCAAAGGCGGCCACTCCTCGATCTCCTGGACGTTGTGTCTGAGGCACTGGAGTTTGCTCCGGGCCCCCGCAAACACGCATGCGGAATATTGCGTGTCCTTCCACAGTCCGGACTCCATCATCGCCTGCTCCTGGGGGAGGTACCAGTGCAAGCTCCTCCATGGGTTCTCCCGCACGGAGGCCCCCCGCGTGCTTCTGGAGCTGTGTGAGCATCCAGCCGCATGCCGCGTTGTCTGTGTCCACCCGAGCCTGGTCCTTGACTGACAGCCCTGGTAACCCCAGGGGCTGG